GGTAAGTTTTCTCAAATTTGAACTCTCTCTACAAGCATCATTAATGGTTACTTTGTGAATAAAAAATGTAGACATCATAGCCCTGAAGCTAACCATACCCTTATATTTCATTTATGTTACTTGAGTGATGCAAATTTTGAAGATGAACTTTCTGAAAAAATTAGGTTTTTATTTGGTACCAGTAAAATTCTCATTCATCTTTGATGTATAGCTCATGAAATTTATATGGTTGAATTCGTATTAAAAATGGAGCAAATTTCATGTTCATACTTTTGCAAATGGTTAAGAAATGAGTGAGTTTAGAAATTCAAAAAATCTTGTCAATGGAAGTTGGCGCGAGGTTAGGGATTAAGTTACATTTAGAAATGAGTTTGTAATATATTTGTTAGTTTTTGTTCTAATACCGGATGAATCAGCCACCCCAATGGCAGAGAGAGCATGCGTAATGCATTACCCTATAGGGACCTGGGTTCGAGCCCCAGTGGTACCCTTTTGTTTTTTTTACATTTTTTTATTTCAGGTTCCATGCATACAAGCCATGCGCGTGTATCAAGTGCCCTCATCTCATCACCATTAGATCAATGTATGATTGAATCCAACACACCACAAGGCAAGTGTATGGCGTACCTCAAAAAGTTGGCCATATGTGATCCAAAAACAGGCGCTGGGCTCCTCCAATTTGGGCCTCATCATTTTTTGTTTTTGCTTTCTCATACCCCCTTTCTACTAAAAAACAACGCAGGCCCAATGATATTTTTTTTATTTTGTTTTCTGATTTCAAATAAAGAGACAAGTTTAGGCATGTTTGCTAACTTTTAACCCTCATTTACTTTTCAACACCCCAAACCATTTCTTTTTATTTCTTTATATTTTCATTGTTTTATTTATTTATTTTATTTTATCTAACCAAAAACCACCTAAAATATATTTTTCTTAATTAAATTAAAATGTTTTAATTTAGGCATTTTATTTTATTAAATTAAAATTTATCGTTTCTTTTAAATTATAGAATATTTTTCTAACTAACATTAACCGTCAAATTATTTTCTAAATAATTATTTTTAGATTTAGGTTCCATTTTTTCTTCTTAATTTAATTAACTTATATTATAGGTTTTATTTAAGATAAATAATTAATTTCTTTTGTGATAAAAATTAATTAGTCGAATTAGGTTAAAACATTAAACTTTTTCTCCATCAAAAAACCCTTAAAAACATTTTCTTTTTGCTTCTTCATCTTTACATTTTTGTATTATTATTGTAATTCATATTCAATGGTTTGTAATAGTAATTAGGGCTTTATTTCTTTCCTCCCCTCATTCACAAAATTGTACCCCCCATTCCCAAAGCATTGTAATAGCGTAGGACATTTAAATTTCGCAATTTATCGCTTTCCTTATTATTGTTAGTAATTAGGGTTTGCATGGAAAGATCTTAAAATCAACATTAGACAACCCTAATTCAAGATAAAGTAACTGAATCAAACACACTTTGCACACTTATACCTCTAGGGTAACCCATACTTGTTGCCTCGGATAAAAACAGTCATGTCCCTCGAACATGAGATGTTTTAGCAAAGACCCTCGATTACAAGATCGTAGTCTCTCGATGACCCTTCTATGTTGCCTTCGATAAATGATCTTAGTCCCTTATGACAATTTCTAAAACATTCTTACAATTTCCCTTCTATGAGCGTACGATGACCCATGTTTGTCCCTCACATCCAATGATATGGCTCTCTACTAATCAATGGTAGACAAGCACTATCTAAAGGAGGAGGAAAAGAAAAAAGACTTTATGAGTAGGTAGATTTCTCGTAATTACTTCCTTATAAAAAAAATCATTTACACCTCACATTCTCAAAAATGTCTTTCAAAAACAAACATTTTGTATACATTCTCAACGATACGAGAATTATTACAAAATGGCCTTACATTGGCATTTTCAAAACATCTTTCAAACACTCATTTTCAAACATATATTTTCAAAACCAACACTTTGTATACATTCTTAATGATACGAGAATCATTGCAAAGTTTTCCAAGCCAAGGCGTTTTCAAAATATTTTCAAACTTACACAAAACATAAAGCATTTTCAAAGGGATCAAACAAATTAAGAGCCCGTAGATAACTACAGATGAAAAGGGTGCTAACACCTTCTCTTTTCATAACCTACCCCCCGAACTGAAGAAAATTCTCAAAAGGTCTTTCCTGTTCTTTTCACCCTTTCCTTTATTGGATAAAAGAAAAATCAGTGGCGACTCTTGCTATCCGCAACATTTGCGATAAAACACCCAAGTTAGTTCTCCCACTGTATCACAGAACTGACGACTCTGCTGGGGATTATTAACTAAAAGTAGGGCTACCTTAAGAGATAGATCACCTTTATTTCTTTACTTGCTTGATTTGTTTTCTTTACACACTACAAGAAAAATGATAGATTGGGATGGTTATTTTGGCTGATTACGACGGTTAAAACCGTCGCAATTTACAATCTACAACGGTAGAAGTACCGTCGCAGAATCGTGCGTCCCCAGCCTATTTCGCGACGGTTGCAAAAACTGTCACGCACAACAGATAGCGACGGTTATATACCGTCGTGAATTTGACTTTATTTTTTGTTTTTGTTGTTGTTTGCGACGGTTACTCTACCGCCGTAGGTTAGAAATTGCGGCGGTTTTAACCGTCGTAATCTGATTTAGAAATTTCAAATAATATTTTTATTTAAATTATTATTTAGTAAAATAATTTTAAATATAATATTATTTTACTATAATATTTTACTATTATATTTAAATTATTATTTACTTTAATATTTTTTTATTTATAGTATTTTTATTTTCTATCACTTTTCAACATAATAAAGTTAATTACAATAAAAACATTTAATATCAAATAATCATCAATAATATCAAAAAAATGTGATCAAAGGTAAAAAGAAGTGCAAATTTTACCAATAAACAAGAAAAATTCAAATATCATCAAAGGCCAAATTTCATTTTAATATTTACATTGGTTTGCTACAACTTGAGAGAATTACAAAAAATGTTACAATATTCTACAAAATTCATGAAAGTCCTTAGTGTTAAGTGATTTTGTGTTAAACTTCCATGCTAGGACCATGATCCTTCCTTGACTACCATTTGGTCCAATTCTACTTGTCCATTTTTACTTGTCCATTTTGCGCTTCTTCTTGTACCTGCATTACAAAACTAACTGTCAATTATGGGCTGGCAGAATAACTCTCACAACAGTTTGCCTAACACAATGACCAGATCTGTTATTCAATAAAAAAACCATTGTTAGCAGGATTCCTGATATTGAGATTAGAACTGCCATTATTTTACCTTTGCAGTTCGGTCAAGTGAACCACTGTAAAGTCGGTCACCAGATTCTGAAATTGTCAAGCTTGTCACAGCCTTAGTATGTTCTTGGATCTCTTGCAACAGAAGTAGCAAGTTATCTTTTAACGTCCAGACCTTCAAAAGTTACAAAGTATTTTCAAGTAAGCTATTCATTCAATCCCAGTAAAGTTGTCATATGAAACCAAGAATCAAACATTTTTCTAATGACCAGGTATATATGTCACGGTATTCATATAGCCATTCAATCTTTCAAGCAAATGGCGAACACCATGTCATGAAAATTTTCTCCTTTTTGTGAAACCTTGTATGTTTTATTTTAACGCATTTAGCTCATGCTAGCACAAAATTTAAATAAGCTATAATAGGTAAAATAATTATATATATTATCTGACATACCGATATAAAACTTATAATATTTGTTTCAATAATTGTAATCACGGCACGTTAAAATTTACACGACATATGAAATCCTAAATTTTATTACCTTGATTCTTCCATTTGTATGGCCTGAAATAATTTTATCCTTGAACCAAATGACTGACAACACTTCTCCATTATCTCTGCAATCTACTTGAATTAGCTCTTTATGTCTCCAAATGTCCTGTTACAGTAAAGAATTTTAAATCATCTGCTATCCCTACACTAGGAAAATGGTTTAAGAATACACCAAACTTAACTGTATTAGACTGATTCTCATCAACCAAAACGTTGAGCATTTCAGATGCCAAGGGAGAAAATCTCTTTAGCTCTCTCAAACCTTTTAAGATATCCTTAGCGTAGGAAGCAGTTAGATCACGTATGCCATCTGAAATTTACAATTTCAAGTACAATCATCATATATTGTTGCTTTGCATAAATGACATGCAGGCTTTTGAACACAATATAGAGAAGCCAGAATAATATCATCTTATCTAAATCTGTTGAAGACTGTATTTGAGTAATTTATGATGCTAACAGAAACTGCAAATTCGATGCTATTTTCCTTCATAGACTATTTTTTTTTTGTTATTATTATCTTTCTGCTCTAATTTCTTTAAATCAAGGTTGTAATAAATTTCCATGTTTGTGAAACTTACCAGAAAAATGAAGAAAGTTGTTGAAGTAGCCATCCCAGCCGCAGCAGTAGCCTCGGAAATCAATATAGTAGCGTCACTCTCTCCTTCAGCTCGAATACCAAAAATAAGTGAATGCAACAGACATAATACCAATCATTATATCAGTTAACAACCCTACAACACATAAAATCGGTTCAGGAATACCATAAAAAATAGTCCACTCATTCAGAAAATTAAAAAAGGCCAATGCATAGCAAAACTGATTCAGTCAATCACATAGATTCAAGTCAATTTAAATATCCACTTCACAAACCTAATCCCTCACATAACAATTTCTAACAACTTTAAGCTAACAGTTATCCATTTCAATTGATATTCCTAACAGTCAGGCCCTAATAATATTGACGATTTTAACTCTTTTTCACACTAACAATTAGCTAACTCAAATTACAATCAGCAACTAACTCTCAGTTTCATTCAAATCTAAAGCCATCCCATCCTAATAGCCAACTATACACAACTTCTCTACAATATTCTACACAGCTTCGTCAACCTTCATCATCAATGGCATCATCGCGACTTCAAGCTTGAAGCATTCCCTCTATTTCAACACCAATCACAACAACAAACTTCAATAATTGAATTGTACCGAATCAATAGAAAATACGTGTGAATCGGAAATAATAGAAGAATGAGGAATTAAGAATGCATACCTGAATCACGATTGAAGCGTTGGCGGAGTGACTCCGACGTGTAAGTATTCTTTCTTCTCTCATAATTTTTGTGATGAACTCCACTAATCAAATTAACCTCATTGAAGAAATGATCCACCCATTGCGTCGAGTTAAAACTAAGCCTTTTAACAGCCACAGTATTACCATCTGGCATAACTCCCTAAAATGAAATGAAAAATCTATAAGCACTTAACAACAATAAGGTTGTAAGAAGTTACAATAAGATAAGATCAGAATATACTTTATAAACTGAACCTGATCCTCCTTGTCCTAGCTTATTGTCATCATTGAAGTAATTTGTTGCTTTTTCAAGAATTTCATATGGAACATTTAGCTTGGATTTATTCACTGTATCCAAAAGTGTCCCAAATTGTTTTCTCTCTAGTAAAAAAACACACACACATAGCAATAACTTTTAGCACAAGTATTTTGGAAAAAAGTAATTCCAGTCTTTAAATATTAAACATGTGTACCTCTTCTTTTCCTCATTACATTCTTTCTTATAAAGAAACCCATTGTTGCAGTAACCAAAAGAAGAGCCAAGACAGCAGAAGATGCAGCCAATATTATAGCCATTTTTCGGTGTCCTAAAACACAGTTTCAAGCTTCAATCATGTTCTTATCATAATACTGACCATGGTTATAAATTGTGGTCCGCAACGCAATTGCGGCTGTAATATTGCTAATGCAGTAGCTTCCACAACCGTATTGGACTGCAATTGCAGTGTGATTTAAAACCATGCGTCCGACTATATTATGAACCACATCTAACAATGTCGCTCAAGTTTCTTCAAGTATTTTCACCAAAACTAAAAATTTCAAAACCTCACTATGTAATGAAAAATCTTAAGATTAAATGTTTTTGGTCTATTTCAAACCCCTCAATCAAAATTCACACGGCAACGACCACAATGCGCATTGCGGCAACCATGTCACAACACCCGCAACTGCATCAGCGATCGCAACCGAACTTTAAAACCATGATTCTGATATTTTAAACTACTTTACATTAACAAAAAATACAATGAACAAAATTTCAAGATTATGAACAAGTTCAAAATGGTAAGTTTGGCATAATCATGCTACTGTAATTTTGATGAAATCAATACTTCAAAGTTTCGACGAAATCAGATTACAACCGTGACTATGCACAATTCATGGCTAACCGAAAGAAAAAGAGATCATAGCTCACCGCGATTTCCAGCAGCAACATCATTACTACTTGAATTGTTATAGAACTTGTGTGGTGAATGCCTCAAATAACAACCAGAATTCAAAGCCCGTCCATCTTCTTTCTTCCTACACGAAGAACCAATCCTAGTAACCGCATCCTCCAAACATCTCCGACAGTTACCACCAGTAACAAACTTCCAACACTGAGCCAAACCATACACCGTTACATTCTTCCTCTCAACAAACCCAACAGAAAATCCACCGTTTTTCGGCGCCAACACACTCAAATTCCTCAGCAATTCATAAACATTCGCTTCATAAACATTACTACTTGTTTTAGTTTCATTATTTCCACACACGGTCGTGTCTTGATTACCAAAGACAAATGTGTGATCGCCACAGTGTCTGGATTACCTTAATATTATTATCATAGCTACATGAAAATAAGATATCCTCTGTTGGGTGCCACCTCACCATTTTCACATCCTGAGTATGTCCTTGCAGCACTGAGACACACTCAAACTCATTGCCTGGCTGCACTTCCCATATCCAAACGGACTTATCTCTACTGCAAGTTGCAAGCAAAGTTCCAGATGCATTCCAAGATACACTCTTTACTTCGTTTTCATGTCCCTGTCCATAAAATTTACATATATCTCAAAGCAAGTTAATAAAACTGATCAAAAAAATAGCCAGCAATGATAAAAGAATATACACATCCAAATGGAAAGAAGAAACAGACAGACTAGATTCACGGCAGCATGGAAGTAGCATACCTCCAAAGTAGAGACACACTCAAAATCACCCCCAACATTTTCCCATATAGCAGTGGTGGCATCAAAACTTGCAGTAGCTAACAATTTTCCAGAAGGTGACCAAGCACAAGATCGAACAGTTCGAGTATGTGTTTCTTCCAAAACCGCCTGCATTTCGTTTTTGGACACCAATATCATCATTAAGAAATTGCCACCAAACTTGAAAGTATAGAACTCCAGTCATAAACTATACTACAAACCACCAACTACATATCCACGTGTTTATGAAAGTGCTCACGTTTGAGGTAGCTAAAATTGATTCATTTTGGATATTTGACTATTTTTTATATAAAAAATAAATAAAAAAGCAATTCAAATATTGGTTTTAAGGCTAGTAAAAACTTTCTTTTATTGGTCCTCTTTGGGTAAACAACCTAATTAAGTGCTTATACTTTAAAGCTATGTTTGGATTGATGGACTAGAACGGAGCAGGGCGGAATAGAATAGGATGGAATGGAGTGGAGTGAAGCGGAATGGAGCATAATGGAGTGGAGCAAAACGAAACAGGGATTTCATGTCGTTTGTGTAATTTTTATAATTTGACATATCATAACAGAACAAATGAGTTCATTTATTGAATACACCCTAAATCGGATGGAATAAAAATTGAAGGATTGAATGGAATAGGATGGAATGGGTTCCATCATGTTCCATTCTGCTCCATCCATTATTTGTAAATCCAAATAACAGAATTTCATTATTTACCACTTCATTCCATCTCATACCATCAATCCAAACATACCCTAAAGAATTATCATATAAGTGCTTATGTATAAGCTATTTTTATAACAAATGATAAAATAAAACCAAACTACTTTTACATAAGCTAATAGCTATAAGCTGTTTTATAAGCATGCTTACAGAAATGGGTTGAAAACAGCTTATGAACATATGTTTCCATAATCTCTCTCAAATCATCTCACAAAATCATCTCACAAGTGCTTATGTCAATAGATAAACCAATTCAAACGGACTCTTAATAAAAACGATTCTAGAATTGTAAGTTGTAACATACAAAATTCATCAATAATTCCTATTCAAAAGTGATTCTACTCAACAATCCAAAAAAAAAATTGAAACATACGCTATAAAAATAAACGACGGTGTTGAAATTTAGAAATAGACCTTGCATGAGAAGAGGCTATTGGAGAGGTTCTGTTCCCAGATTCGAACGGTTTTATCGCCGCTGCAAGAAGCGAAAACGAGCGGAACACCGGCATGACCAGTGGCCGGATTCCAATCCAAGCTCCAAACCCTATCGGTGTGACCTTCGAGTTTCTGAACCTCTTTCAACTCTAACCTCTCCATTGCAAAGAACGATTTGACTCAGCGTACACGAGTTACAAACACAGACTCGCTCGTTTCTTCTCCACTTCAGTTCAATTTGTTGGCTGTTTCCTGTTTTCTCGCGAAAAGGGACAGGGAATTCAGAGAATCTTCCACACGAACGTGACAAGGGGTTTTCTTTTTTCAAAATAAAAGTTGGAGACTAATCGAGGAAAAGGAAAAACACGGTGGGCGAGTGGCTTGTGCAAAACAAAATAATTCTTTTTTTTTCTTTTTCTTTTTTACTTTGCAAATTGAATTTTGGGTGCGACGGTTGTTTTACCGTCGTGAAATGAATTTTAGGACGGATAATTTTACCGTCGTGAAAGATTTAAGGGTGCGACGGGTGCTTTACCGTCGTGATATGCCTTTTAGGAAGGTTAATTTTACCTTCGTGACTAGTTGTTGGTGAAAAATCAATGTTAAAAGTGTTAAATGGGGGCCGACGGTTGTTTTACCGTCGTAATAATAATATTATGATGGTTAAATATACCGTCGCAAAATAAATATTAGGGACGGTTGGTGTCAACTGTCGTAAACACTGTCTCTATATGTCAATTACGACAGTTATCACATAATTGTCGCAATTTTTGTGTCGTTAAACACTAATTTTCTTGTAGTGACATTTGTGGGTATTGTTTGGGTTTTTTACTTGTAAAGATCCTATACCTGGATCTGGGGCATATTAGGTAAATAGGAATAGATCGTGGAGATTGTACGACATAGACCGATATGGTTGAAGTGATGGCTACGTTAGTGCGACACATTTGTGGGTACCGGTGTCCCTTGAGTTAAATCGAGGAGAATATAGGGCCGCTGAGTGGTGTCATAAAGCGCCTAACTGATTGTAGAACCCTAGTTGAATAACTTGGCCATTAGAAAGTAGTGAGATACCGGCTTTGGTGCAATACTAAAGTTGGTTGATACTCGATACTACACTCATTGAGATCGTACTTTCGAGATATTTCGGTCGCGAAAAAAGATTGTTGGTGCTGAAACAATGCCCAATGAAGAAATATCAATGATATTGAGATTCCTTAGAACCCAGTTACTTTCTTTTAGGACATGTTGAACCAACTAAAACTTCAAGAGGGTACTTACCTATAAACCTCATGCAAGCCTAAACCTAAGGCTTCGTGTGCTTTGTGTGTATATTATTATTTGTTTATAACATCATAAACATCATGACATCATACCACAACATTTTCACTAACCATTTCAAGGACCTAGGGATTTATCTTTGTCCTCTTTTGTAGGACATGGCTTCCACTCGCAGAAATACCATCTGAATCAGCTTTGTAAAAGTGCCTCCTTAACTCCAAGAGTTAGCATCAAGGGTTCCTGAAGATTCTCCATTCACCAAAAGATATGGCCGAATTCTCAATCTGGTTACCTCAAGCTTTAAAGAAGAAATGATGTGTGTGCTCTTTCAATTCTTTGATCCTAAACATCATTGTTTCAGATTTCCTGATTATCAATTCGTGTCCATAATTGAAGAGTTCTCTCAACTGTTAGGAGTACCAGTCCTTGATCAAATGTCATTCACTAGTTTAGAGGAAACTCCAAAACCTGAAGTTATTGCCAAGTCCTTACATTTGAAGAAGTCTGGCATTGTAGATAATTGGGAAACAAGGAGTGGAATCAAGGGTTTTCTAGGTAACTTTCTATTGGAGAAGGCTCGACTGTTTTGGGAGGCTATGGATTTGCAAGATTTTGAAGAAGTCTGGCTCTTCTAATCTATGGTTAGTACTATTACCTAATCTAGACCAAATAATATATATGAATGTTGTCAAGACTTTCCTTTCTCGTAACCCTGTGCCTTCTTTACTCGGAGATATTTTGCATACTCTTCACACTCGCACCATGAGGAAGAGAGGAACTCGTATTTGTTGCATCTAATTTCTATATAGGTGGTTTATTTTTCATACAAGGTATGAATTGGTCGCAAAGAATAATGTCGCTTTCTCATACAAATATCCTTTAGTTCTCCCGATATCTAGAGGACATTACTATCATTGACTGTTGTGGGGAGTTCCCTAATGTTCCACTCTTGGGCATTAGGGGAGGTATTACTTATAACCCTTCACTGGCTCTATGAAAATTTGGCTATGCTCTAAGAGATGGTCCTCATGACGCGCTAATCCAGGGTATTGTATTCGACTATGAGAACGATGTCCAAGGTTACCGTCAAAGGTTTGTTCGATACCGGGGCATGATAAACAAGGTTGATAGAAAGACTTTGGGGCATAAGAACTTTATTCCGTTGGAGCCTTATCTCAAATGGGTGCGAGCTCGCGCTCAAAATCTCATGATGCCATATCCTGCTATCCTACCAATAGTTGTGGAGCCTATTACCGAGGGAGATATTCCTTATACCATTCTTCATCTGGACATGCCTACCGACCTCAAAGAATTGTAGAGATTGTGGATTCAACTCAAGGGGGAACGAGACACCTTGGAAGCTCTATTCTACGCAAGTGAGAAGAAAGTGTTGGAGCTCACAAGGCAACTTCACGAGGATCAAAGCCTGAATGCATACATTGCACCAAAGAGGAAGCGTATGTGGGAGATTTAAGTCTTTTGTTTTAGAAGTCTATTTTGTTGTCTTTTGACACCCTTTTTGCTTTTTCATTGTAAGCCCAAGGGGAAGTTGTAATCTTGAATTTATTAATACAATTGTTGTGTTTGTTTCCTTTTTGGATAGAAAATTTAAATTCCTTAAGATCCTTGGAAACATTGCATCCACATAGCATGCACCATATCATAAGCAGGTTTTCCGATACATATTTCCTCATCTTTCTACTTTTTATTTCAGTATAAGATGGTTGTAGAGAAAACCGTCAAAGATTTGCAAACTCAACACACACAGTTCCAAGAGACTCTCCTTAACCTAGATAAAGGTCAGCAAGAGATGATGGCACTCCTTTCCACCAAGAAGAAAACTAAGAAGAGGGTTGTTATCCTCAACATGGGAAGAAGGTTCAAGGGGCTCGCCCGACTGGATCAAACAGAAGAAGCTTCTTCTGAGGATGAAGACAATCAAGAAGAGGAGGTTAGAAGCACTAGATCTGGGGGGTGGAAATAACCAGATTACTGAGGATGAAGACACCTCCGAAGAGCAGTATCCACCGACGAATGAGAAATACAAGCAACTAGAAGACCGACTTAAGTCTGTAGAGATCCAAACAATGCCTAGTTTGGACTTTGGATACTTAGGTCTGGTCCCTGGGGTGTTCATTCCCCAACAAATTTAGAGTCCCTGTATTCGCCAAATACGATGGGGTCTCTTGTCCAAAGATGCATCTAAGGTCTTATGTCCGCAAGATTCAACCACACACCGCCGATAGGAAGTTATGGGTACACTTCTTCCAAGAAAGATTATCTAGGACACAGTTGGAGTGGTTCTATCAACTTGAGGGGACTAAGATCCACACATGGGAGGATCTAGTTGCTTCCTTCTATAGACAATACCAATACAATGATGATCTTGCACCAACTCGCGTGCAATTACAAAATATGACAATGGGTTCAAATGAAGGCTTTAAGGAGTATGCTCAAAAATGGAGGGACCTGGCTGGAAGGGTGCAACCCCTGTTAACTGACATAGAATTAATGGACATGTTTATGGGTACCTTGACTTCTCCATTCTTTAATTTGGTGATTGGGAGTTCTTTGTCATGGTTTACTGAGTTGATTATGACTGGTGAACAAGTTGAAAGTGGAATCAAAAGCGGAAAGATCCCCATGGCCTTAACCTCTACTACTGTAAAGAAACCATTTATTGGTAAGAAGGAAACTAATGATGTTTATGGACAAATGAGCCGTATCAAAGACGATCGTCACCAATCGGTAGGAGCTGTATTGATTTCAAATCCAACCCCAGTTCAATGACCACAACAATCAAACAATCAACAAAGGCTCTATGTCCCAAGGAGGAAATTCAATAGAATTAACATGCCATTGTCTCAAGCTTTACAACATTTGTTGAAGGTAGATTTGGTAACGGTGTGAGACCCTCCTCCAAATCCCAATACTGCCTCTCCCAAATATAACCCAAATGTGAAATGTGCCTATCATTCAAATAGTCCTGTCTATGACACCAACAATTGTTGGGTGTTGAAGAACAAGATACAAGATTTGATTGATAACAAGGTGATCGAGTTTGAACCTCCATAAACCACTAATGTCATTACTGCTCCCATTCCCAGTCATGGTAAAGGTGTCAATGCTATTGACGATGCCTCATTTGACTCCACCATTGATGTTTTGACTACTCCATTATTGACCGTTAAGAAGAACCTGCTGAGAGTCGGTTTATTTCCTAGCTGCCTTGAAAATTGTTACCATTGTGCTTCCTAAACTAATGGTTGTATGTGGATGAAGAAAGGTATCCAACGTCTGATTGATAGCCATGAAATTTTGTTCGAGAAAATTTCATCCGTAAAGAGTCTACCTCAAGATGTTTCCATAATCACAATCTCTAACACTCCTATTAGGATCACCTCTAAAGGCCCTATAAGGATCCCTGCTGAGCCAAGAGTGGCTCCCTTAATCATTACTACACTGGGGCCAGTCCCCTATTCATCTGAAAAAGCAGTGCCTTGGAACTATAGGGCAGAAGTTTGTTATTATAGCATCAAGAAAGAGCCATGGATTATTGAAAATGAAGAGCTTGAAATTACAAACATTGTTGGAACTAGTAAGGTCACTAGGATTGGAAGGGTCTTCTCTCCGGAGATATCTCTTCCAACATTTACAACAACACTTGTTTGTATTCCTGCTGCTAGACCAACTACTAATACCTGAGGTTAAGAGAAAGTTACTGAGCCTTTCCTGACGGAGGCACCCTCAAAAGAAGTGACAATTGAAGACCCATCTAGACAAGAGATGGAAAAAATTCTGAAGATCATCCAAAAAAGTGACTATAAAATAGTTGAACAACTGGGGCATACACGCTCAAAAATATCCATGTTGTCCTTGTT